TGCCGCTGTGGAAAACCTGTCTAGCACCCAGCTCTCCTACAGCACCTGCTCTGCAGGCCTTGCAGAGGGAACAGGGTCTCTCTTACAGATAGAAGAATTCCCCTCTGAGGTTTGGTTGTATCTGAAAAGGTTCACTTCCCAATCAGTATTTCATCTCATCCTCTAAGAGGGGGAGTCCGAAGTTTAATCCAATTGCTGAAATGAGTTAAATGGCACATCATTGTGGAAAATACAATAAATTACAGAACAGACTCAGTGGAAAACTGGAGGCCTTGACTGTGCTCTTGGCCTTTGGGGCAAGTGAAGACAAGCTACCTGCACCCTGCCCCACTGTGGGCAAGAGCTAAACTAGATCCCCAAATGCAGCAGCATGTAGCTGGAAGTATCTTTTGACATCTTCAGGCCCTTCTTCTATACACATAAATTAGCCAAGGAAGAACTGCCTTTGACCCAAAGAGTTCTTTTCAAAATAAAGCAGAAGAATCAAGTTCCCATTTTTAATACAAATGATCACAATGACCAAATGAGACAATATAGTTTTATTCTATACCAGTGATTCTCAATCAAGACTACTTTCTGCACCCTGTCTTCCAGGAGTGAGGGGACATTTGGCAATGTTGCAGACATTTGTGGTTCATCCCCACTGAGGGTGCTCCTGTCATCTAATGGCTAGGAGCCGGGGATACTGAAAAAACATCCTACAGCACACAAGACAGCCACCCATTCCCACACACACAACAAAACATTTTCTGGCTCAAAAGGTTAGTAGTGGCAAGGTTGAGAATCCCTAATGTAAACTGATGAGAAAAAGCAAAAATTCTCAATGGCAACACATCATAAATAGTACTTTCTTACAATACGTCCTGGGGCGAACTGATTGTGCATTTGGGTGGTGTCTACACTGGCCCATCAAAACATATTTATTATAAAACCCACTAGAGAATACTGCTTTCCAGATTCAGCAGATGTGAGACAAATAACATCCTGTTCATTTAAAAAGGGCCAAGTCAGGGGATGCTTACCATGCACTGGAGATTTTTTCTTGACAACTCTTCTTCCTCTTGTTTTTAGTAAATGATCATTCCTGGGCCCTTTGTCAAACGTACCTTATCTCCTGCAGTGTCATCTTTTTTGTTTGGAGTGTGTGTGTGTGTGTGTGTGTGTGTTTTAATTCCAGGCAGACCATGCCCAGCATAATAGTCTTGAACAGACATTCTTCCTGTCTGAAGTATATTCTTCCTGTCTGGGGTATTTTCGTGACTAAAGTTTGTAAAAATGTCCTTTCTCTAAAAAGATATTCTTGAAAATCAATAAACTTCAGAGAATAAAAAAAAAAGCTGGTCGGTGACTTAAATATGGGGCATTTCATTGTGAGAATAGATATGATAAGGCAACCCCAAAGCCAATGAGCTCAGAAAGCACTCTGGACATTTCACATGTGGTCTGTTATCTCAAGATTGTCTTTGAGGAAGAAAAAGAAAACTGAACAGTATATTGGTCATGAAAATAAACAGTGGCCCGTCCCAGAAAGGAAATCAGGAAGTGGACCAAAAATAATGTTTAGCTAACTTTATGTTCCCCTCTGTTCTCGTTTTGTTTTATTTGGGGCTGAGCAGGGACACTTGGAGTTACTTGGTAGTTGTGATATCTACCTGCATTTGTTTGGCTGCAGAAATGAGATCAAGTGAGAATGGTTTTGGGGAAAGAATCTGGGTAAAAATGGGCAGAGCTAATAAGCATTTAATGCAATTTTTTATGTGCTCAATTATTTTTAAAAATATTGACAAAAACTGAAATTTTAGAAAATCTGTGACCATTGTATCCTGCATTTTCTGAAGCAGGTGGGCCAGTTTCTATCAGGTCAATATGCAATTTGTCGTTGTACAATAAACATTTAGCTACTGTCCCAGTTTCTAAACATTGCATTTGCATTTTCTCCCAAGGTATAGAGATATTTCCCATGGGGGATATGTATTCACTGGAGAAGTTTCAGAGAACATGAATCACTCCTCTTTTTGCACCATCTGCCAGAAAAGATCTTTTATCAAAAGCCAAAAGCCATTTCCATTCGCCCTTGGTTATGCTGTTTCCTCTTCTTGGAATATTGTTCCCAAGTCATCTGCTCCCCTGTCAACACCACTACTTGCCCACCAGCTCCTCTTTTCCAGTCTAATGAACTTCTATCCATCCTTCAAAACCGAGTTCAAAGTCATTTTCCCCAACTTTTGGGGAAGAAGATACTATTCTGTCCTTTACCCTACTGTAGGACCTCCCACATGTTCTATTGTATCACCTTTTCCCTACTTATTCTAGTAGATTCTTGAATGCATGTGGTCCATGCTACTGTGATCTCTTTCAACTTAGTCCATCCAAAGAGTGGTACAGGGTCAGCTTCAAAGTGGCAATCAGCATGTAAGTATCAAATAAATGAGGAGAGAACGAGGTGATGGAAAGGTGGAGAGAGGTAAATGAAATAGGAAATAATTCCTTTTTCTAACATCCTTCCCCCACTAATTTATAAAGCCTCTTTCCAGACACACTGTGTCTCTATTTATATGTAATTTGTTTTCTGATTATTCGACTATGTCCCACTGGTACCAAATATACTGTAACAAACATACTGGAGCTCAACAATCTATTATTATTTATTTGTAATTTTATTGCATTATAGTTAAAAATTCATAATATGGTGTCAAGGCCTTTGTATATGTTGAGGTTTGATTTGTAGTCAGCCTATGTAAATGTTCCAGGTGTTTATGAAAATGGTGTGTGCTGGTTATGAAGTCTCTTTCCTAGTCAATATATTAACTTTATATTTACTAGTTTGGTGAACGACATTAAAATCATTATGATTATGGATTTGTCAATTTCCCTTTGCAATTCTTTTGATTTCTTCTGTATATTTTTTGAGACAACATGTCATATACCTAAAAGCTTAAAGTTACTATATCTTCCTGGTAAAAAAATAAATTTCTAATTATTATGTTGTGATCGCCTTTATCAATAATAATGCAAATATATATATTTGATCTATTCATCTATTCTCTTGGCTAGCATTTGCTAGATATGTATTTTTACTTATAATGTTTCTCTCACATTATGTTTTAAATGTTTTTTGTAGAGATTATTAAAATGACGTGAAAAATCTCTTTTCTTTGAGTTAGAAGCATTTACAGATCCATAAGGATTTCTTAAAATATTTACTGTGTTTTTAATTGCTTCATTTTTCTCCTGTCCTAATTTTTATTGGCTTGATATGTCTACTTTTATTTTAAGTTGTATTTTATATATTATTTTATTATATTTAATAGATCTTCCTATTTCAATAGTATAGTTCTAATCAGATTTACTGCCAAAATTAACTAGCACCTTTAGAGGATTTCTAGTAAAATATTAATGATTGCTGAATTTAGAAAATGTTCAATTTTTAATAAGGCATTTTTTGAGGAGGTCTTTTGTACCAAGTCCAATCTCAGTGGGCCTCTAGATGAGTCCTGCATTTGTCTCTGTGAGAATGCAAGTGCTCCTGGGATGATTCTCTGCATTCCTCCTAAGAGAGCATTGTCATGTGTTGGGGCCATACCCTCTCAGAACATTTCTCTATTTATGTAAAATACAATTTTGAGAGGTTTAGTTTCATCATTTTTTGAAACAGTGTAATGCATGATTTGCATGTGATAAGCTAAAATACCAATAAATGTTTATAATTTAGTTTTATCACGTGGTTATAACCTTGGAAACATGGTTATCGGTTGCTCTTTTTAATTGATGAGCTTACTTTCCTTCTCTACCTTTGCTCACCTGTGAGTTCCATTAGGAGGGAACCAGCTTTGTCTTGTTTGCCACTTTGTGTCCACCCAATTAATTGTCTGTATGAACAAGGAAGTCAAAGTGATGCTACTTTTTCTTAAGTAGAGCTGTAACTGGGAATGTTCTCAAATCATGACCGTATTTTTCATCTTGATTTTGTCATTACAAAGTTGTAGATAGGCCTCCCGATCTATTTTTAAAATATTGTTTGAATTTCTTTCATTAATCAAGGTTTAAAGCTTTGAAAGACTTTAGATAATATCTTAATTTTGTAAAACTTTAGAACCATTTTACCTAGATTTTTATGTCCCCAGTGGACTATCTACAGTTTTTTTGGCCTACCATGGTCACATTTACTTGCAAAGGAATCTCCCACCTCTCCATCTTTTAAGTTTTTAGTACCAGAGAACAACTATTTTTATTTTGTTTCTCACTCATGACTTGACACATGATCTTGTCACAGGAGGACCTATATCCGAATAATCAGAAATAAGACTATCCTCTTGTGATAATTGGAACATTTAATAATTGTCTGGGGGCACCAACCAATGAGACAAGCCCTTCAACCAACCTGGTGCTTACTCCCAAAAGCCAACCCAGGGTCTGCTGAATACAGACCTTGTCTCTAGGGAAAGCAGTTTCATTGGTAGGCCTGCAATCTCAGCTAAGTCCCTTACTTTATTTAAATGCCTTTTTTTTGGAAGTGGCTCAAAGCCTTGGAACCTTTTAATTATCCCATAATCATGTCTTATTTATACCTGCCTGGATATTCTACAGACAGGTGGAGCGACTTTAGTTTAAAAACCACAGTAATTGAATTCTGCCTTTCAGGACTTGCAGAGCTAAATGTAGGTTGTAACAGTCAGCACAGGCTATCTTGGGTTTGTGTACACTGCCCTGTGTGTGGTGTGAGAGTCTCATTCCTTTACTGATGGAATCTCCCAGTAATCTTACTGTTTCTCCATATTCCTTACTGACTGGGGCATGGTGGATCAGTGGAGGATTTCAAAGATCAAAGCACATCTCTGCTCCAGATCTGTTTAGAACTCTGCTTCGCTGGCAGGCCAGGGCCCAGGGAGAGGCCACTCCTGCTAAGGCCCTTGTTTCTTAACTCCATCCATATGTCTTATGTTCAGCCACCTGCCCCCACGTAACTGCATTTTCTGACACTGCTTCTTTCTGGAGCATAGGTCCACACGTTCCGAGGCCCACACTGGTGTGAGTACTGTGCCAATTTCATGTGGGGACTCATCGCACAAGGAGTCCGGTGCTCAGGTAGACACAAAACTTTTTTCTCCCTTTCCAATTATATAAAGCGCTCTGCTATGTTGATCTAGGGTGCATCTCTCCAGAAATAAGGACCATTCCCAGATGAATGTGAAAGTCTAGCTGTCTCATGGATCCAAGGCCTCTGCTTCACAGGAAATCTAACAGTTTGCAGCAATGAAAAGGAGTATTTCATGTTTATGAAAGAAAATATATTAAAAAATAAACACCTAAGTATATTTCCTTAAGATCTACCTGCCTCCCCAGATAGGCAGTAGTCCTTCAAAGAAAAAAAAAAATCAATTCTAGTAGAATTCCATAGATAGAAAAGCCACACTTCTTTCCCATTCCATCTTACTACAAAAGGCAGGACATTAAAAATTATAATAATCCTGATGAGCATTTGCCACAGGCACCAGGCTAAGCACTTTCTATTTATCATACCATTCAGCCTCACCTACAGACCTTAGGGAAGATGCAATTTGTTCCCATTAAATGAAAAAGGAAATGGCGTCTTCGAGATAATTGTTAATTGCCTTTGGCCACATATTAAGTTGCAGAACAGTGACTCAAAGGCAGGTGGACTCCAGAGCCCGTGCTCAGGATTTTTCTGCCATCAGATCAGCAGTGAAACCACACACCTTACTTTGGCATCACTTATTTTTAAACTCTTGAATGTTGTTCCACCAAGAATAGGACACACACATACACTAACAGCACACAGCACATCTTCTTAAGGTTCATTGAACAAAATGTTGCCAAATTAATATATTAACTGGGCTTCCTAGTTCATCTTGTCTTGCTTTTTTTTCTTTCTTTTTTTTTTTTCCTGGCAAGCAGTTGTGCTGGAAGCAGGAGCAGCCTCCTCTGATATTGATCAGGTTTCTGCCAACTCTTGGTTGATTTCCTCCATGCTAGTGTATGATTTTTAAAAATAATTCTTATGAAGCATTTAAAATAAAATCAGCTAATGTGATTTTATGTTGAGATGATCTTCATTCCCATATTGCCTGTTTTGGGTCACAGGATTGTAAAACCTCAGTCCTTTCTGCTTACAAGGGCCTTTGTTAGCTCAATTGTGAGTCAAGGATTCTCATGGGTGTTGGATCATTCTACTTTCCCATTCCAGGTTCCTGAGGCAGATAGCAAACCCAAGCTGAGAGGCAGCCTCTCCAGAAGTGTCCAGATACCCAGATTAATACAAAAGACTGATTTGCTAGGAGTCTTAAAGTATCTCACAGCTCAACCATTGTGCACTGTGGTTGTGTATCTGAATTTCTCAGTGGTCATCAATTCAACCTGTCCAGATTATACCTACCAAAAATATCCCACATTGCTGATATTATCCAGTTTCAGCAGGAAATTGGTCCAAAGTCAATATTATGAGAACAAAATTCTGGACTTCACATTAGCTGTGATCAGCAACTTTCTCTGGGATGAAAGGGTTTTTGGAATTTTTTTTTCTGTTTTTTAAAATAAAACACATTTAAGCCTTTTTTGGTTAGTTCTCTCCAACAACTACGTTTTGAGCTTCTATTTCCTCCAAAGCGCAGGAAGGCTGAAAACCGCTCATCAAAGGTTAAGAGGAGACATCATTGCTCTCAGTTCTCCAGATTTTAAATTTATTTCAGTGATCTAGACCTTAGTTACAACACATGCAGGGCTAGTCATTTGTAAAAAGTAAATATTTTATGCTTACTATAAAACATCTTAATTTTAATAAGATATTGGTGTTTAAATCTATATAAACACATTGTTGCTTCAGATCTTAAAATAACATTTTAAAGAAAATTAAAAATCGAATTATCATATGATCTAGAAATTCCATATATATGTCCAAAAGAACTGAAAGCAGAATTCCAATAGAAACTTCCACATCCATGTCCTTCATCCAGCATTAATCATAATATCTGAAAAGTAAAAGGAACCCACTAGTAGATGAATGGATAAACAAATGTGATGTAGACATATAAGGGAATATTATTCAGCCTTAAAAAGGAAGAAAATTCAAGAACTCTTAGACCATGCAGACAAAGGTGAAAGGAATATATCTGTTTAATTCAAATAGAACCTCCTACCTGTGAGTCCAGAATGTATCTAAAAATATAAAAATTTAAAAAAAGAAATCCTGACACATGATACAATGTGGATGAGCCTTGAGGCTCTTTGTACTGAGGGAAATAAACCAGTCACAAAATTACAAGTCCAGTATGATCGATCCACTCCTGTGAGATACCCAGAGATGTTGAATTCATAGTCAGAAAGTAGAATGGTGGCTACCAGTGGCTGGGGGGAGGGGTGGGTAGGTACTGTTCAATGAGTATAGAGTTCCAGACAGATAGTGGTGATGACTGTACAATAACATTAATGAACACTCAAAAATAGCTAAAATAGTGAATTTTGATATGTATATTTATCATAAGTTAACAAAAAGTGTTAAATGAAAGTTATAGGGTGCAGTTTAAAATTACCAGTGAAATGACTTAAGAATATCAAGGCAGGTCTCTTTATATTTCCTGTCACCAAATGTGCTATTTATTTTATATGACTTAACACTTTATTATAGTACTTCCCAGATTTCAGATATTATGCTAACCACTTTCTATTAACTTAATTTGATCCTCATGCTCACCCTATGATGTAGGTGCTATTATGATCCCCACTTTATAAAAGAGGATCTAAACAAAGAAACCGGCCAGTTCTCTTTAATACAGTTAGCCAAAATTTACACTCACTAAGTAGATCTGTCAAAATATTTTTGAATTCTACTTGAGCTTTGTAGAATTACTTACTTTGATAAAGCTCAAAAAAATCAGAACTGTTTTTTCCTTTGGAAGGAATATAAAGAGAACTCAGCCAGGAAATATTACCTAAAAATCACCTAGAAATAACCACTGATGATTTTTACAGAAGTTAGATTCTCTCAAACCCCTGGTATGATTGGCGCTTTTTTGTAAAGCAGCTGATGATACTGTTCATTATTGTGTGTGTATGGTCTGTGTATAAAATACACAAAAGGGCCGGGGATTTAGCTCAGTGGTTACGCCACCTGCTGCGCAAGAGCAAGGACCTGAGTTCGATCCCCGGCACCAAAAAAGTAAAATAAAATAAAATAAAATACACAAAAAATAAAAAATAAAATCATAGCTAGGAAAAAGAATATTAGAAGACACTGAGTAGAAGCACATCAACTTGGAATGCTTTCAACATTAAATTTTTATTTTCCAGAATGTAGACGGTGTCTTTCTATTAGAGAATTCTGTCACTGTCTACCAAATGCTAACAAGGCTTTTAATTTCCTCACTGAACTTAAAAGCAGCTTTCCAGCTTTGGATCTTGACATCAGCTTTATAAATCATGACTTTAATCATCATATTATGTAGCATTGTTATAAGTTATATACTCTCTGGCATGCCCACTGGTATACAATCAGACCTTAATTCTACTCACAGGTATCAAAATAAAGCATGAACAAGGGAAAATGTTCTCCATAGTCTGTCCAGCAAGGAAGAAGGGATTGAGAACTGTGAGCGACTCTCCAGGAAAGGCAGAGGGTGCCAGGGCTCAGGGCCAGGGTTCCTCAGAGCAAAGACTAGAGATTTTTGCCGAGAAAGTACCATGTCTTCCACAGAGGAGCATCAAAAACTTAAGGAAACAAGCTAGCATGTATGAGCTATGACTAGATCTGAGAGCTCAAACCCAAGAGCCCAAATCTGAAAATGAAAATATACACACAACCTGAGTATTTAAACTATCTCAACAAGATATCCTGTTCTTACGATCAAGCAAAAGAGAAAGATTAATGAGAAAAATGCAATTCTGAATGGGTTTAATGGGTGAAGTGATTCTCATACACACCTTGTGGAATGTATCACTTCTTAAATGGCATGGATTTCCCAGAACCTTTAGGTGTTGTTATTTTTATTTCTGGCAACATATAATTTGTGTTGGACTTGACAAAAGAACTGGGCAAGGCTAACGTGACCTCTTTGCTTACAGACTGTGGGTTGAATGTACACAAGCAGTGTTCCAAGCATGTTCCTAATGACTGCCAGCCTGATCTCAAGAGGATCAAGAAGGTGTACTGCTGTGACCTCACCACTCTCGTGAAAGCTCACAACACTCAGAGGCCCATGGTGGTTGACATATGTATTCGGGAAATTGAAGCAAGAGGTTTGGAAAATATTCCCTACTACGGTATTACAGTGATTTTATTTTGTGGTTTATATTGATTGTTGCCAAAGAATTGGCTCACACTACTACTCTTGGGAAAATGACCTGTGTACATGCAGAAACACACACAGAGATAAACTAAATCCTGCCAACTATGTCAGTTTTCATTTCTTATATAAACCATAACATGGATGCACTCAACAAATGTTTACTGAGTAGTTAGCTGTGTGCCAGACACTAGGGATCTAAAAGTCACCATTCTCAACTTAAGGAAATTCATACTGTATGTGGAAATCAGAAGAGCAAACAAATATATATTGTGGGTACACATATCCAAACACCATAGAATCACAAAGGAAGATACTTCATTTTAGTTGAGGACAATTAAAAAAAGGTTAAGACGGGTGAGGTTTGAATTGGTCTTAAAATGTGCTTCTATTAAGTAATTTAAAAATTATTGATCAACACATGTCTCCTACAATATAAAAGTTCATCTCTGATATTGTTCTGTTTACTTCAAAGAGAACAGTTAAAAGATTATAAAGATGGATGCAATGAAAAATCAAGGTGGCAAGGAAGATAGAAATATTCCCCCCTCCAAAAGAAGGTTCTTTGTATTATGCTGGAATTACCTTTTCTTTATTTTTTTTTTATTTGGCAATTCTTCAGCATCATATGGATCTCACTGGGAAAAACTTGGATTGCAGGATGTAACTTGAATAACTGAGCCGTAATTATTTTATATTCTTCTATACTTTGTATCCATTGTTGCTCCAAAATTGAGTTAACATATTCTACAGGTATCTAGTCATTGGCCAACTATGGTATTTTTTCCAAAACAAAGCAAAGCAGGATGTTAGAGCTTGTTATCTCAAGCCTTTTCAAGATAGAAGATTATTTTATCTGCAGCATGAAAGCCATGGTGATTCTGGTCCCTGAGGACTGACTCATTTAATCCCCCATGGTAAGAAATGTCTCCAGTAGTGAAAAGAGAGGAACTTGATGGATGCTCTGGGATCTGGTGAAGGAATTGATGGAAAGGCTGACTAGCTAAGAAGAGAGGAGAGGTGTCCCAACTCTGGATGAAGGACTGGGACAAGTGGCCCTGGGCCAGCTGTTTGGAAGACACTGCAGTTTGGGGGCACATCCAAGGACAGGAACTGTGCTGCTCTGGTGAAGATAGAATAGCACCAACTCCTATAGGATAGATAAAATAGCATGACTCAGAGTCTGGGCCAAGGGAATCACAGCAAAGGGATTGGAGTTACAGACAGTAGAGGACCAAGCCTACAAATAAAACCTAGTAATAGGCTAGAAAAAAAGTCACCTGACCTATTCTTAGCTGCATGGCACCACTGCCAACATGGCCTCGAGCAAGTTCTTACTCTGCTTAAATATCTGTTCCCTCATCTGTAGAGTAGAAGTAATTGTACCTCAGAAAGTGCTTGTGAGGATTAAAATAAGTTGATGTGTATAAATGACCTAATACAGTGCCAAATATACAGGGCTTGACCTGTTATTTCTTTTCAGCTTTTCCTGGAATAACCAGCTCCCCTAACTCCACTCCAAACCTGTCTGAATATATTACACAACCAGTAAGTTTCATTGCTGTTCCAGAGACCCAGAATAATAGTGTTTTCAATAAGATAGAAATCTTCAATAGATAGAGATCTCTTTATCTCCTGTGACAATGCAGGTAGCCAGAAGCAGTCCAGGGTTAATGAGCAGTTACTCAATGCCAGGAGCCCAGGCCCTGCAACTTGTTCTTTGTCACACTTGAGATCTGCCCTCATCTGCATGACTATCATCCTATCTGCACTGCAACCCACAAGAAGAGGGAAAGTGCAAGTTCTTCCCTTCAAGGCCACAGCCCAGAGACTGTATCCATTACTTCTGTTCTCTTTGCATTGCCCAGAACTGAATGGCCACTGCAATACATATGGTTTTAACAATCAAAGATCCCATTGCAACACAGGAATGGAGAACAAACACTGGAATGGCAGTTGGCAGTCTCTTCTCCTCTAACAAACTCCAGCCCCTCCTGATGACTTCCTTCACAGACTTGCTCCTCAATAAGACCTCCCTAGATACCCTCTTCTGTCAGGGTTAGCTGTCCACTTCCGTCTGCTCCCATAACTACAGTGGCCATGCCTCTAACAGTCTATCATCCCACTTTGCTGAGAGGACCCTGCACGCAGCACCATCTAGAAAATGTGACCCCCAGGTTTCATCTTGTGGGCTCCCTTCAGTTGATCATCCGTGGCTACCTAGACAACTGATCTTCAGACAAAGCAGCTAATATCAACTAAGACCATCTGCAAGGTCACAGGACAGATGAGGAACAGTGTCTGACATGTATTTGTTGTCTCTGATGTAAACTCATGCAAAGCCTTGTATATAGCAGATAGTATATAGTCAATAAATATTTGTGAAATTTATAAAAAACAGGAATATGTTAGTTATCAAGAGTTTAACATATTCTACTGTGGAACAACACAAACTCTTTACTTATTTTTGCAATAGCTACAGTTCTGATAGGAGCTAGTTTTTGATATACAAGGTCTGAAACCTGGTCCTACATTCCTTCTGACATTTTTGATTGTGTGTGTGTGTGTGTGTGTGATAGGTTTAGAACATATCTTAACAAATCAATAAGCTTGAGAAGCAGAAACTAAGTCCTTTTTTGCCTAAATATACAATGACCAAGTTTATAAAATCAATAAATAGAATTTTATTTTCTGCATCTGTTTGTACAATCGGTTATGCAAAGGCAAAATTAAATCATTCATACTGAGTTATTCAGCATATTGTCTTATTTATTGTTACTCCTAAAAAGCTATAAAATTTAGATTTTTCTAGCATATTACACACATTTACCTAGAACAGTACCTCCTACAATAGAAAACATGGCTTAGAAAGATGCTTGGGAGAAGGGAAAGTTGCTGCCCCAGCAGTGAAATGGGTACCCAGTGATCTGATGAACAAAGGAAGTAGGGGACTGTGGTCAGTGAGAATCTTAAATATCAAGTTGCTTGGCAAAGTCAGGCAAGAAGAAGACCAGATCGCCACTGAGAACTCCACTCCTAACAAGCAAATGAAGATAGACTCATGTGGAAACTAGGGCTGACAAGTCCAAGTTCTGACGCAACAGTGTGTGATATATAAGATCACTAATGATGTTTTCTTGTTTCCTGATTGCACATAGTACGTATGTGAAATTAGAGTCTTTTATTAGATGTCTCGGGAAGCTGAAGTTGAAGTCTCTCCCACTGTCTCCCTCCCTCTGCCCCATAGGACTGAAGTCAGAAGGCCTGTATAGAGTCTCTGGGTTCACAGAACACATTGAAGATGTCAAGATGGCATTTGATAGAGGTAAGCCTGTGCCTTCCTGAATTGCCATCTGACTTATCCTCCTCAGCAGCCTCTCTGTTGGAACCAGCTTCGTGCATAGTGAGAACAAGGTATCAGAACTACTGAGAGTTGTTTTTAAGAAACTGAGGAATGATGCTTTAAAAAATTCTCCCAGTTCTGCCTCTGTGGGAAATGTTTCTTTAGATGTTGCAGACAATAACCACATGAGGAAATCAGTTTAAATACCATGTGAATGGGCAGCCAGTCCACGTGGTACCAGAGCACCCTTCTGCATCCCCATCTCGGGATCCCGCTGATGACTCTTCTCAGACCTCCAAAAAAGGAACAGGGGATGGGTGAGTCCCTGCACTGAAGGAGGGGAAGCCAGTAGAGTTCAGCAGGTAGCTCCTTTGTTCTTTTTGATGGTGACTCACAGTTCTAGTGCATATTATCTCCTAGGTCAGTGATTAGCCAACCTGAAGAACTTGTTCGGAATGTAGATCATCATCCTCAGGACTTACTCAGAAAGCAGGACTAGCCTAAGAATCTGTATTCCTAATGAACAGTCCAAATTGTTCTGGTGCCCTGTTTTCCTCGATGGAGCTCCCCTGGGTAACATGATACACAAGGTCTTGGATGATGCGGACCTGCCTGTCTGATCAGCTCCTCTCCAGTTCCTCCTTCCTATTGCTCTTTATACTCCAGTGCTCCTGAAATACACCTTACCTATTGTCATAAAGAAGCACTTCAGCTCATTGTCCTGTTCATCTGGAATGTGTACCTCTTTGCCTGGCCAACACATTTATATTGGGAGTTGAGTGTTTTGTCTTTCATGAGGCTTCTCTGATCACCCCAAGCTGTTTCACTGGCCCATGCCCCTCTGTGTTTCTCACCTGTTTCCAGCATAGCATCCCATTTCTTTGTAATTGTTGAGTTGCATGTCTTACTCCCAGTCTAATTAGAACTAATCAAAGGGGGTGTCTCTTTTCTTCTTTGATTTACAAAGGCTTAACTATACTTGGTGTGTGGTAGATTCTCAATAAATGTTTGCTAAATATATAAATAAGGGGATCAGTGTGACATATCTGCTGCTCTTTTACTCTCTTCTGTACATTCACAGTTTTTTAATCTTCATAACCAAATTTGCCAAGGCATTTGTTCTTTTAATTCTCCACGCAAAAGATATTGCTAGTCTCCGTATGATTGAAACATTTTTTATCCAAAGGTTAAAAAAGAACTCCTAGTCTACAATCGTTAAAATGAACTGGTATTTATTAATGGTAAAACTAAAAAATCAAAATTGTCTTGAGAATTATTGTAAAAAATAGTAAAAGAAAGATAACCTAACTATACATGAGGTAAGTTTAAAGTTTCCCAGATTGAAGGCCTCCAGGCGAGGGGGGTAGAGTCAAGTTCAAAAATCAACTTCAGTGAGTTTAAAAAAAATAGTAGAAAATGAAAGTGTTCAATAATTATTTTGCTCATGTGACCTTCAAATCCAAGTCCAAAGAATATTGATGGAGATGTAGTAGACCTTTGATGGTTTCTTTACATTTTCATATAAAGTTGTTATTCTATTATGAATCTTTATGTCTATAATATGAATTACTGTGCTAAATTTCCATTGGGCAAATTATCTGGGGCTGAGAACCAAAGAACTATTTCCTGTCCATTCCGTTGCCTTTGTGCCTGCACGTACCCTCAGACCTTACCTAACTCTCAGCAAACTCCTGTTACTTCCTGCACCTCAGTGTTATTAGAAGCCGAAAAAGAGTTAGCTGAAACTTGTCAGGTAGCACTCACTGTTGAAGTTTTCCCCCTTCTGTGCGTGCTTCAACTTGGTGAAAGAAGATCCTAATTAGAACTTGGATCATTGACTGTTTTTCAGATGGGGAAAAGGCAGATATATCTGCCAACATCTATCCAGACATAAACATCATCACTGGGGCTCTGAAACTGTATTTCAGAGACTTACCCATCCCTGTCATCACTTATGATACCTATTCCAAATTTATAGAAGCAGCAAGTAAGTATGGAAGACTAATTTTTCATTTGCACTAAACACTTAAGTACAATGTTTTTGATCTTAAGAAAATTAAACTCAGAAGAGTTTTATTGCATGAGTTTTTATTTTTCCAATGAGAGCACAGTAGTACAGTCATCAGAAAGCCAACAGAGTGCACCAGCTGAGCTGAACCTGTGCTAAGCCAACTGTGACCACAGAAGCTGGGTTCGAGGCAGTTCTGTCTTTCCTCATTGCTCCCCATATGCAGAGAACCAGCTCGGCCAGCCCTAGTCTGTTATTTCTTAAAAGTGTGAATATTTTATATGTTCCCCAAGGAGAGCTATGTAGATTAACTACTTTCATCCATTAAGCAGAGTCACACTGTGGATTCATTAAGGTTCATCCAAGTCTTGCCAGTGATGCTGTTCGAAATTAATAGAAGGCCAAGGGTATTCTGTGTCAAATTCTATGCTAGGAGCTCTCACCAGCTTCTTCTAGTTTATTTTTCTCATCTATCCCATGAGGCAAATGTTACAATCAGATTTTACAGAGGAGAATAGCCAGATGTGGAGGGCTAAGCTCATAGGTCCAGGAATGGACCATCAGCCACAGTTGCTCATTCAGGCTTCACCAAGTGGCCTCACTGCTGTGAGTGGAGTGTGACAGGCAGAATGTCATGGGAAGGGGCTGCTCTTTGCCCAGGAACAGATAATGACAAGAAAGGAGAGATTTGGATGCTAAGATGCATGACAGAGAGGTCAAGCTCACTTTGAGAAACTTTTTTTTTTAATTTTAGGGGTTTTTAAAAAGTCTTTAAAGATTAAAAAGTATAAGTATGTGCTGTTGGCTATGCTAATGAGGTGTCTGACAGGAGGAAACAAGGGTGGGTTGGGATTTATGCATGGCACATTTTCCAGATGAGCTATGGCCCTGCTCTCTGGTGAGAACATTCCTTCCTGGGTTCTCGTAGCCCTAAATGAGCAAGATTCCAACAGCTTGGTACCTTCCAACCCAGAAGAAATATCTGGAGGGTTTTCTTTGAGTATATACCAACACATATCAGAGACCCCAAATCCAGAAGCATGCACTCTTCCTCCCATTGTTAACACGCCCAGTAGCTATTTCCTAACCTGAACTGAACACCAGGGCTAATCCTGCCAGCACTTTAGTGACAGTTGCCTTCAATGCAGGCTGATCTAGCCAGCCTGACTGCCAATGTCCTTGCATTGCAAAATGCATTCAGTTATGGAAGCCTGCCAGGGAAAGACTTATTTGGCAGTGTAAGGGGCACACTCCTATATGTAGTAGTTAAAATTAGAGCTTATGATAGTGAGGTCTCCACCAAATCCAATGTTCAGAAGACAGAAAGAGCACACATAGACTGTGCATGTAACTTCACACTGTATGCATTCTACTAGGATGCCCTTTCCCAGAGGGGAGGGTCAGTGTCCAACCTCCAGCCACCCACATCATGGAAACGCAATAAGCATGTGATACTTAACCTCAGACTCTTTCCGGAATGAGGCAAAATGCAAACAAATATTAATTTCTGTGCAATAGTACCTGAAATTGCATGAATTTATTAGACTGTCCTCCTCATTTGTGATCAAGACAAATGAGACATTGTTACTTCTCTGGACATTCTAATGTCACAGCTCTGTGCTAATATTTGTTCTATGTGATTTATACAGAAATCTCCAATGCAGATGAGAGGCTGGAAGCAGTCCATGAAGTGCTGATGTTGCTGCCTCCCGCCCACTATGAGACCCTGCGCTACCTAATGATCCACCTCAAAAAGTAAGCAACACCTCCCTTACTGATCTGCCCCTCATCTGCCCCTGGAGCAGTTAATGCATGAAGGAAAGTTGACTACAGAGTGGACAGACACTCTATTTAAAGTGGACTGTGCTACTTTCTTAAGCCTGTCCCAGTCATAGCTGCTAGAATTCTGCTCCATGCTGAGAAATGCTTCATGCACTTTCCACAGGGTGTGGGTACTCTTATGGGCCTGGACCAAAGGAAGTCGAATGTCTAATCCAAAGAAATGAATCTAAGACTGAAACCTAAGCAGGTTGATCCAGAGTCCGCACTCTATCTTAACCACTTGTCTTCACTACTTATACTCCATACCTGCACCTCCCAGTGTGTACTGTATGTTCTGATCTTCCTCTTGCTGTTCACCCCAGTCTCAGACTCCTAAGCCTGTGATCTCTTGTTTTCCTGATGTGTGAGTTCTCTGTCTCCAAGGAACAAATTACTCCCAAACTTTGTGGCCTAAAACAATAAAAAATGTATTATCTCCCTCATCTCTGGGCCAAGGATCAAGTTGTAGCTTAGCTAGGGACGTCTGGTTCAAGGTCACTCATGAAATCAGCCAGCCTGCAATCTCATCTGAAGGCTTCATGGAAGGGAATTTCCACTTCCAAGTTCACTCATTGGTTGTTGGCAGGATTCAGTCCTTGAAGGCTGTTGACCTGAAGGCCAACTTCCTCCTTGACTTATACTGGGGGGCAACCCACAGACAGCACACAAAATGGCAACTGGCATCCCTTAGAGCAAGCAAGCAGGAGGATCCAAGAGGAAAGGTTATATTTTTAGGAAATGACGTCCTATGGCTATTTCTGTGTTTTGTATGTTAAAAGCCACCTAGGTCTGGCCCTTACTTACAGGAGACAAGGAGTGTGGGCCCCTCTGAGAGGACATCTACCATAGTAAGTTATCTGGGTAGAGCATGTGAAGCAGAGATGGAGATTTTTGGATGTTTACCACACACTAGAACTCCTGGATCCAGACTCCTCTCTAAACCCTGGGTCCCTTTTCTTTCCTGTACATTTGTAATGAGATTGATGAGTTGGCCTTTGACTGTTGGAGGGATCAATGCACATCTGTGTGTCTCTCTTTGTATTTCTGGAATATACATGGCAGCACCGCATTCTTAGACAAAGTGAACCAAAAATTGTCTATGTTGAGCAAATTACAGATCTACTCAGCAAGTGCAGGAGCAAGTTGAGAATACTGTACAAATTCCAATTATTTTGGATTTTACTTTTTGGCCTTATTATGACTGCGGCTCAGACCAGAGTGATCAGAGTGGGTAACATATAGTTCAAAAGAATACCATTTGGATTAATCTATTTAATGTAAGAGTAGAGTGCAAGTAATTTTTGGATCAGTGATAGACTCTGAGTATCTCCGTAAGCTTTTAATTAGCTGTAAATTATTTCTTTCCTTGTAACTTATGTCCAATTGTTACAATTTGGGAAGTAAAGGACCAGTATCACAAAAAATGCTGGCCTCTCCCAGATGAATTGTAAATGGCAATAGTTTTGTATTGTTATTGTGATGAGTCTGCTAGCTATCTTGTTTGGTCAAATGTGGTGTCTGACTTCATAGGAAAAGGTAAACATTTTAACAATCCAGAATCTCCTCTTTTCTACCTTCCTCTTAGCTTTGCAGCATGAAAATGATTCAAACTGAGCTGACCTTCCTAAAATAATACTAAGTGGCAAATCCTTCTTAGCTCTAAGGGAATAGACAGCAAAGAACGGCCTTCAGTGCAAAACCTAAACACATTTTAATTGTCTTTAGTTCTTTGGAGAACCTGCTCCTTCTTAGATCTATTATGAGCATTGTAAAATCTAAATTTCTGAAATCAGGAATCTGAGAGATAACAATTTTATTTTACTGGAAATATAGTAAGCCAACTTTGGGGATTTGGATTTCATTCTTAAAGTCTCTTCAGTTCTTGTCTAGAGATTGAAAAGATGATTTTAAATTCCAACAATAACTACTGCTACAGACCTCATCCTGGGGGAACTAGAAATAATGTCCAACTGCTTTCCTGTCTGGCTACATTCCAGCCATTCCCCTGTCCCCCGATAACCACCTGGCTCTTCCTAAACACACCACATGGCAACCCATTCTATAAGTACCCTTTCTCCTCTACTGCTAGCCCTGCCAGCAGACAGGGAGCCTGCTCTGTGTCCCACTTTCCAGCTTACAGACCAATGGGAATCAATGGGAAAAAAGACTAATATATAAAAGCCATGATGCCACCATGGGCCAGCTAATAATCTTCCGCTCCTTCAAACCAATATCCCTTAAATGATAGTTCTATGTTTATTTAGTAAGGAGGACTGATTTTCTAATTTTTAAAATTGTGTCCATATTAGACTTACATAATGCATTCATTTCCACTGGCTGGAAGCAATGTCACCAATTTAAAAAGAAAACCAAATCAGAAAATTACCTTTATAAAAAACACCTTTCTGCTATTCTGATTCTCAGTTTGCTTTTGTAATTTCTTGAACCAGTGATGGTGTTGGATCTTAATCAGTACGTAAATTCTTCCACAAGTCTACACAATGTCTTTGTGTATCTGTGTGTGTTTTTCAGAGTTACTTTGAATGAAAAGGACAATTTTATGAATGCAGAAAATCTGGGGATCGTGTTTGGGCCCACCCTGATGAGGCCCCCCGAGGACAGCACCCTGACAACCCTCCGTGACATGCGGTACCAAAAGCTGATTGTGCAGATTTTGATAGAAAACGAAGATGTTTTGTTCTAGTCCAACAAAGAAATGAGCTGAATGGCCCCAGCCCCATCCTAGTTGATAGATCAAAAGGAATAAAAACATTTCTTACACTTGATTTGTTTTTCAAACAAGTAACAGAGTTTCCTGGACCACAACGGATCGCAGAGTCGGGTAATGTGTCTCATAGACACGCCCTCCTCTATGCGAGAACAGGGTGAGGGCAAGAGAGCCCCGGCCTTGGGTCTTTCGCTGTGCCTCGTATGTATGTCTGTTTCGCTGGAAGAGTGATTAATACATCTTTCTTTAACTTATTAAAAAACAACGTAGACCTTTAAGCTTCAATCTTACCAGTAATAAAAGGGAACTTAATTCCTAAAGGTACTTGATACAGTTATAAATTTTCCACTTACAGAAAGAAGACAATTCTATACGTTAAATGTTAAATGAAACCTATATTGTAAAATGTATTTTTATTTCAGCTGCAAGAATGTTATTTTATTTTAACAAATAGAACTCAATGCAGTGCATTGACTATTACCCTGTGTACATTGTTCTGCGTTCTTGCTGTGATGCCCTGGAAGTTTGACCACAAATGCAGTGTTATCTTGACATACCTCTCTCCTTTTTAGTGCTTTTCAATGAAATTTCACCTGCCACATTGTCCCTGCTTTTGATAGTTTTTGCACTTAAGCACTAGCATTCTGCTATCATATAGTATAAGTTTATAACAATTATAGGATGGTCCGAAATATCCACAAATTGTCTTTCCATAAAAATTTTGTGAATTCCCGAAGTATGTTATCAATTGGTCACTACCCTCCCATGTAACGAGTGTGTAACCTAGAACATGCAGAATGTGGTCATTTTGTGTAAAATTATTTGAGGACAGTGGACGTATCTGGGCTATGAAAAACTTTAGCACTTTTTCCTCTTTTCAGCAAAACACTCCAAACTCATATGTTAATTATAAGTTGAATTTTTGCCACATTCGTGTATTGACAAAAAGTGACCCTGCAGAATAATTTTTGAATTTTTTCATTTTTATCTTATCAACAAACCTATTTTTAAAAGTAAAGAATGAGTAAGGTTGGTTTTTGCTAAATATTTGTTCATCCTTGAGAAAAGTAGTTCTGTATGAGAAATAATTTCATATGATTTTATTACTATAGTTCCATCCTGTTGGTTATATTTATCTCCGCATGAGCCTTTCACACCAAGATTTCTATATTTTGTAACATAGGTAAAATATTTAAAACATCAAAAACTGTACATCTAGATTTTTAAAAATCCAACTGCAATGTCTTTCCCTGATTGTCTGAGATAGATCATGTAATTACTCACAAGTCTTGTTTTGGAGTGACCAGAAGAGTCGTGCCGTGTGTGGTGTGGCATGAGAGGAGGGGCACCATGCAGCTGTTGTCCTGGGAAGTCCCCAGGGCCCTGCAGATGGACTCTGTTGTCAACTGGGGGTCAGAATCATTCAGTCTGCTCCCTACTGTTAGCCTTCCTCCCAACTGTACAGATTTGTTTGTTGTAGCTTATGTACTTCTTGATACTGTCAAAAAAATTATCTGGAAATGGTTTTATTTTGTGAGGTGAACGATACTTTGTAATTTATGATAGTGTAAATGGAAGGAAAAGCATTACATGTATTAAATTCTTCTGTCTATCATTCTGGAGTTTGTTCAGAGAAGTGATGTCTGCCGATGGCATGGGGAGAATCTTTAAAATCTTCTCAGGGAGATTTGGCCATGGGCTTTCCATCATTGTCAAACCATAGGAGAAAGCAAAAGTGGCCCATAGCATCCCCATCTTGCTGTCCCTCACCTCCACCAGCTTATTTCTAGAGATCCTGCTTTGAGGTTATGAGATTCGGATGTCCAGCTTCGCCTTCTGGAAGGCCCATTGCGCTTGGAGAGGTAAGGAGTTTAGGGAGAATCAGCCTTGGCTGCTTGGAGAAGCAGAACAAGGATTCTGGTGTCAGAAATTCCCAAGCTGGAATTCTAGACCTGCTTGTTACTAGCTGGGAATGAGTTGGCTTATTTGAAAAAGCAGGGATAACATTTTAAATGAAATAATGATTTAAAGCAAGCAGTAATAGTTATTTTCCATTATTTCAAGAGTGATTACTTAGAAGGGAAAAAGATATATAACTTGGGGTTGGGGATAAAAGAAGCATGAGAAGACAAGGATTTGTCTCCGGTTAAATCCAAGTCCGAGACATACTAGGGGATATTTCAACAAGGCTCTGTAATGTGCAGTGGGGTTTGCTTGACTCCTTTTCTCAAATGTGATTGCTACACTCGATCCCTCTGCCTTGCTTTAGTCTGAAGCCTGCTCACCCATGCCTATCTGCCCACCATCTGGCAGCCTGACATGGCTCCTCTTACCTGGCTTGACATCCCTAGCACTGGAGTCACTCTGATAGACCTTAAAAGATGCAGCAGAGTTTCCAGGGACTCACAGTTAGATTGTTTACAAGTGAGTTGTGGCAAGTGGTATGGGCGCATGATGGGTGAGAGAATGAGAGGCTACAGCTTTTTTCCCCATTAACTTAAACGGACGTTTCAGAGGGCAGGGGGCGTGAAGGAGAGAAGGAGTTATGGAGAGACAGTTGGGAAGAAACACGCCATACACTTGAAGGCTTACTAGGCTGTCCTGATTACTGAAAACCCAAATCAGGTGGCTTACACATGCCTATGCTCTCACAAGCCCCACAATTTATAGCCAGCCTTTCATTGTTTAAATGTGACAGTCATTAATTTTTTTTGTTGTTTTTTTGGGTTTTTTTGGTACCGGGGATCGAACTCTGGTCCTTGCGCTTGCAAGGCAGGCGGTGGAACCACTGAGCTAAATCCCCAGCCCTACAGTCATTAATTTTTAACAAATATTTTTCAAGCATAAGTAATAGGCCAGACACTAAATACTTGGAGGCAAGGCAAATGATTATCTCATGGGAAGAATTAAATAGTAAGTTTAGTCTGGTGGGAAGGAGGAAACTGATCATGTTGAGGCTTTTAGGTTCAAATATAGGGGAAATGTGGGCTACTAATATTTTAAATAGACTTTTAATTATGGAATGATTTTATATTTTCAGAAAAGCTGCAGAGAAACTACAGAGTTCCTACATACCCCTTAGCCACTTTCCCCTAATGTTAACATCCTACGTAACCACAGCATAGCTGTCAAATCTAAAAATCAAGCATTGAAACATGACTCTGAATTAAATTCTAACTTTACTCAGATTTCATAGGTGTTTCTACTAGTGGCTTTTTTTTTTTAGCACTAATGAGTGTTAGGAGACAGATCACACAATCTGATTTACACTTTTAAAAGATGATTTACTTGATTATGGATCCAGCAAAGAACGTGTGAGCAGATGGGGAGTAGTGAGAAGAAATGCAGGGAGTCAGTTAAATAATCGCTGTTGTGAGACTGAGATGATAGGAGCCTGGATTGGGTAGAAGCAAAGAAGAGATAAATAGAACTGGATTATATTTAGGAAATAAAGTTTAAAAGGCTGGGTTATAGATTGGATTAAGAAATCCAGGCTGAGCCCCAGATTGCTTCATTTGGCAACTGTGCAATAATTCCTGAAATGAAGAATATATACAGAACATCTGGTTATTGGGGAGGGAAAGAAGAAGTGGAAGAGGTTGGATATGATGAAATGAAGATACTTGTGAAATTTCCAGGCAGAGGTCTTTCCTGAGAAATTGCATGGACAGAATTGGGTTGGAGACATGGATTTGGGAGTGAATCGCTAGAGGTAATAATTGAAAACATGGAATTAAGTAAGAGGACCCAGAAAGCCTGAAGGGAGAAATGCAGGGGAGTCCGCACTCAGAGTTCTCCGGAGCACTGACACTCAGGTGAGAGGAAGAGAAAGAAGAAAGGTAAAGTGGCCCACTTGAATGTAACAAAATATAGAAAATCTCACAAGTGCAGTTCAGAAAGAGTCTCTCCAGCCCTCAGATTTGCTTCACAATATCCTGTAACATTTAATTGTTCTACTTAGATTTATTTTGCTAGATTCAAGGCATCATGTTAGACCTAATACTTTGGAGAAGTGTGATTGGTTAGACGCTTTATAAATCCAAATAAACCAGTGGTCTATCTGAATGTCTGTGTCCCCCTGAAGTTCTCGGTTGAAACCTAATCCCCAGTGTAATGGCATTTGGAGCTGGGATGTGGAAGAGGTGATTTAGTACAGCCAGAATTACACCTGAGCTGAAGCTGGAGCTCCCTTTTTCAAAGTCTTTGGAGACCTTAAAAACAATCAGGACTGTTTAGAGGCCAAAGAAGAGGCCGATGGCTTTGCAGAATTGTGGATGTTGTTCAGATTTTCAGAGGCTGCATAGAGTATTTTTTTTTAAATGAAATGATGCATTTTTATTGATTAAAGGTAGACTTCATTAGAAATTATTACATCTAGCAGATACAGCATTGAAATAAATAAACCAAACTATTATAAATAAAAAGAGATTTGAGGTGGCCATAATAATGGCAGAAACTTTTAAAACAACTCGTTTAGTAACTGACAGAATGAGGATGTATAAAATTTGAATGGAAAAAATCAATGTTATATATAAAACTCTATATCCTATAAAGAGACAATATACATTCTTTGGCAATGTCCACGTTAAAAATTTACAAAATGTGGTTATATAGTATGCCAGATAGAAAATTTCTATAAGCAGAAGATATAGAGGCTAGAGTCTGACTGCAATATCATAAAATTTAAATTGGTAATTAAAGATTAACAAAGTAAAAACATCTAACCCTGGATATATTGAAAAACTATCACTTTTTGGAGCAAAGATAAAATGTATACATTAATGAAAATGGAAACTACTCCTACAAACTTAACAGTATGGCCAAAGTAGTACTCAGAGCACATCGGTAGCCTTAAACATGTGTTAATAATAAATGTGAAGAATGAGAAAACTGGATGAAGAAATTAGAAATAATATTTACCTTTGAGAATATAATAGAAACTAACAAAGGTAAATGCAAGCATGACAGAATTGGTAAATATAAAGAGAGTAGCTGAAAAATCCATTCATTATGCCAAGAAAATTTAAAAATAGCTTCTTATAAGGTGATTCAAAGAAGAAAGGAAAGCAGACAACAATAAAACAAGGAAGGGGTATGAAACCACAAATAGTGAAGGTATTACAAATGAACATGACACCCATCATTAATTAAAGGATCAGTCATGATAAAACATATCTTTTTCCAAGGAAAAATAAACAATTTCAAAACTAAAGGGATGTGTGCATATTAGAAAAATAAAGATTTCATAGAGATTGTTTATTCTACCCAGAAAGAATTAGACTAATGATTTTATGGAAAATACTTGGAAATGTTCAAGGAATAGATATCTCATTGTTAAAGTTAATATTTTGGATATTAGAAGTATATTGAAATTCTGTCAATTCATTTTTTGAAATAAGTATAATTTTGATACTAAATATGACAAAACTAGTTGCATAGAGTATTTTATATCCATCCAACCCTCGCTTAGTGTCTCAGGTCTCCATAGGCCCCACCTCCCGTAACTCTTAATGCCAACTGTGATGTAATATTGTCTAAACTATGATCCTCATGAAGGACCTGACAACCAAGGTCCCTGAAGAACATGCGTTTGACTCTGCCATTCAACTCTTCAGAATCTTTATCTCTGCTATGCTTGCATCACATTTAAATAATTTTTAAATTCAGAATAAATTGAAGGCCTTCATCTCATTCTGGTCTGCTGTGCTACCCCAGCTCCTACCTGGTACTACCTAGCACACACTAGGCACCCCAAGCTTTTCTAAATTAATGGCATATTCTTTATTCAAATAGTGTCCCATTTTGATGAAATGAAAGAGGTGAATTCTGGACAGGAGAATCTGGAAATGCACATTTAGTCCTGTATGTCATTTGGAGCTGTGCCTAGCATCTGAACCCTTCCACTTTTTGAAGGTTTCTCCTTAAATGGGGGTTTTTCCTTTGGAACTAAACCTCCTTAAGTTATGTAATCTTCACCATGTTCTTTCTTCTTTTATCCAGTTGGATAAAAGTTGGATAAACAACTCAGTTCAGAGAACCTGAAGATCAGTAGCAGGATACACAGATAACGGTAGCTTCATTAGGCTAGAATGAAGAGCAATGTGGACAGGACGACAGGGGCTGGGTCTAGACAACATCCTGTTTAAATCCCAGCTCTATCACCTTCTCACAGTAGGGCTTTTGGAAAGTTACATTAATTTTTAAGCCTCACATTCTTTGTGATTTAAATGAGCTAATGCCTGTTCTTATTCCATTGAGTTATTGTGATGGTTAAGACAATCTAGGGATGACCGTAGAGTTTCATTGTAGAGTTTAGGACACAAAGTAAACAAGCAAATGCTTTTCTTAAAAAAAAAAAAAAAAAAAAAAAAGGAATCAACAGCTTAGAGAAGCATTTATGAGAACACGTTAGCCATGAGTATCCTTTCTTTCAATCTATAGGTCACCTCACTTCTCTCTAGCAAATGAGAAAGTTATAAGGATTTTAGCAGTTTACATTGGCAGCCAATTAAACACCAAGCCACACTTACCTCATGCAGAGGGATGTGGTCGAAAGACAGCATGGGGTCTAGAGCCATGAAACCTGGTTCCTTTACAAATGAGGCTTTTAAGTCTG